AGCTTTGCGCCAATGTTTCCATTTTCAGCAGCAAAGCTCGTACCTGTGTTCATGGCTCAGTGGGCTAAGCCTGTGTGCCTGTAATCACAGTCGCCGATTCAAACCCAGTGTATTTAGAACGTGAAAAGCGATCTTCAGCTGAGATGCCACAAAACTTCATACTACTACTAATAATTAAAATATATATAAAAACATTTTAAACCGTTTAACTGATAATTAATTTTGACCGAATATTACTATTTCGGTTAACGGTTAAACGGTCAAAAGGAGCATCCCTAGCTATATAAATTTTACGTATCCTTATGCTTATTAAATTTGGTTAGTGGAGCATACAATATGCCTCTTTTGGTAAATCGTGGAAGCGATAAGCACTGAAGTGGTGAAGAAACAGACAGCTCAGCAGCGATAATAAGAAGAGATCCTGTGGTTAAACAAGGTAAAAGACAGTGGTCTGGCAATACTTTTTGCAGATTAGTCTGTTATGTTTTTTTGTGTAAATATAGTTTTCATTTTTATTTTAGTTCACAAATAATTTTCTTTTATTTAGTGTCCATTTTTTCAGTTTTAGCTTCCAACACTAGATAACAACACTAGTTCCAACAGGCCCAACATGCACAAACACACACACACCAGCACCATCAATCAATGTAGATTAAGCTCAGACATTTTCGCAAACACTTATTCAATGGAAATTGTAAGGTAGCAGGCAGAAAATCTATAGCTTTAATAATGAGTGTGTTTAGTAGCTAGAAGGACAAAACATGTTTAAAAGCCTTTTGCCTTTTCTGGCAGTCCATCATCCAGAATAGTGCCTGTGCCTTTCCTCTTCAGGTGATTGTGCATAGCACTACTGCTGCGGTATACCATCAAAACTTTACATAGCGTAAAACCACCTATTTGTTTTAATTACGTAGAGATATTCAAAGGAAAACATTTGTTAAAATGCATCGAAGCCTTCTAGAAACACTGCCTGGCCAAAAAAAAAGTTGTCATTTAAATTTGTATCAGCAAATACTTAAGAGCCAATGACTGGATTAT